AAGTTGGATTTATCATTGCCCATAATAAATGAGTGTCAAGTTTGAAAATGACGCCTGTTTTGTCAGTATAAGCAGTACTGCAACCGACAACGTAATAATTGAACAGCGATGTTAACTTCCCGAAATAGTCAAATTTATTTCCTATCTCTTCTCTTTCGGCTCTATCCATTTCTCTTCACCATTTAATGGACCAACATTTGCCTTCAACTTGATGTGCACCTGTACCCTAAGATGAAGTTTGAAAATTCAAGCAGGAAGAATATGCAATGCACAGTTTCATATATTAATGGGTCCGTCTGATAAAGACCTCTTGACCATTTTGATTTGTAGCCATTAATTTACTCGGTAGTTGTTGCCTTGTCCGTCTACAGATTAAAGACTGTTCATCCACTTGCAGCCATAGATATATAGGTGAAAAATACTAACAATCTGGTGACATTTGTTTATTATAGTAACAAAAATTAACAACCACAGTTTAGAGTTTAGGTTATGTCGATTTCTTCTACACAGTCGCTTATGCTTTCTTTTACTAACTATTATTTGACGTATGATACCTGTCATGCATTTCCTGTCTTGAATTTCCTGTAACCAAATCGGTACAGTTATCACTTTATTCTTGTTGGATTTGAACCGTTCTTTTTGTACAGTTCACGATATAATTTTGAAGAAAATAATTGTGTACAGTAACCTTGTACATGGGCCAGATAAAAGAAATTACTAATACTAATTCATTTTGAATACAAAAGTTATCTGTTGTAATTGCTAAGCGTTTTACTCTCAAGATCATGAGATCAAATTTATATAAATCTTAATACATACATACATATATCATTACACCCACATATTTAAATGACTTATTTTGTTTTACTATGTACAAGCTTCCCATACGAATCCTTCATAAAATAATACTCAAAGTTTAAAAATGAATAATTGCTAATTCATCTCTTATTTTTCAACATCTACACGTGCATGAAGACAAGGTTGGACCAATAATGTTCCATACACAATTGGGGTTCTTATTTTATTTGTCTGTATGCATATCCCAATAAAAAAAATAAAATTACAGCAAAGAATATAGTATTGTTAGATGGTTACATGCACACTATTGTTTAGCCGCTTTTTGCTTGGTCTGAATTGTGACGGGTGATGATTGTAACAGATATAGAGGACTCATATTTTGTGTCCATCAATAAAACACCAAAACTAAAAACATGCAATTTAGTGAAAATATGAAAAACTAACAGCCACAGTGTGCCATTCATTTATGTCATCTATTTAAGACAATGGCTAGACATATGAAGAACCACGATTCCAATGAAACAAAAAAGCAAAGGATGAACGAAAGCGGCTCTTCAGAGAGAAAATGGGAGGAGATGGATTCAGATATATTAGTGAAGACATTCAACACTCTCGACACACTTGAGTTGACGTCAGGGATTGGTCAAGTTTGTAGTTCATGGCGCATGGCATATGCTAGTCCTCTTCTATGGAGAACACTGCCCGTATATTGAAAACATAAACATAACACCATTCACGCAAAATCAAGGTATTGAAGTAAAATATCATAAAATGTACAATTAAAACATACCAAAAACAAATGTACAAATTCTTCCATGCATAAACTGTCATTGAGAACTATTTGCTTTATAATAACAACTGTATTTGAGAAACGTACAACACATTGTATATAAATAGTAAGTTGGACTTATCATCGTGCATAATAAATGAGTTTCAAGCTTGAAAATGATGTCTGTTTTGTCTTATTATAAGCAGTACTGCAACTGACAACATAATAATTGAACACCAACGTTAACTTCCCGAAATAGCCAAATTATTTCATATCTCTTCTCTTTCGGACCTGTCCATTTCTCTTCACTATTTAATGGGCCAACATTTGCCTTCAACTTGATGTACGCCTATACCAAAGGCCCTAGTTTGAAAATTCAAGCAGAAAGAATATGCGATGTATGGTTTCACATTTTGATGGGTCCGACTGATCAAGACCTTTTGACCATTTTGATTTGTAGTATTAATTACTGGTTAGTTGTTGCATTGTCCGTCTACAGATTAAAGACTGTCCATCCACTTGCAGCCATAGATATATAGGTGAAAAATACTAACATTCTGATGGCTTTTGTTTCTTATAGTAACAAAAAAGTAACAACCATAGTTTAGAGTTTAGGTTACGTCGATTCAACACATACACCAACCATAGGGGCCCGAGCATAGTATATGTCTTTTTCGCATTGAGTACAAGCAGATAAAACAAAAAAGAGCTCACCTAGACGAGATCAAAAGCCTCCTACAATGCATGTACGGGAAAACAATAGTGCACACTGACTATAGGAACCCAATAATAGTGTACGTTCATTTCATATTGAATACAAGAAGATAAAATAGAGAAGAAGACCCAAGCATAGTGTACGTCCCTTTCATATTGAATACAAGCAGACAAAATAGAGAATAACTCACCTAGTACCCTAAGGCCCAAGTTCGAGAATTCAAGCAGAAAGAAGATGTGATGCATGGTTTCACATTTCGATGGGTCTGACCGATCAAGACTTTTTGACCATTTTGGTCTGTAACCATTGATTTACTGGTTGGTTGTTGCCCTGCCCGTCTATAGATTGAAGACTGTCCATCCACTTGCTGTCGTAGATGTATAGGTGAAAATACCTACATTCTGATGACATTTGTTTCTTATAGTAACAAAAAAGTTATAACCATAGTTTAGAGTTTATGTTACGTCGATTTCTTCTACACAGTCGCTTCTGCTTTCTTTTACTAACTATTATTTGACGAACGATACCTACTATACATCTTCATGCCTTTAATTTATAATAACCAAATCTGTGCAATCAACCCCTTATTTTTTTTGTATGGTTAATCATCCCCTTATTCTTGTTGGATTTAACTGATCTTTTTGTACAGTTCACGATTTTCTTTCGAATAAAATAACTGTGTCCAGTAACCTTGTACATGGGCCAAACATAAGAAATTATTGATATTAATTCATTTTATTATATCTCCTTTTAGTGACAAAAGTAATCTGTTATAATTGCTAAGAGTTTTACTCTCAAGTCAGGGATCAAAATTTATATCAATCTTAATACATACATACATATATCATTGCCTCAATTTCATATGTCACTCACTACAAGAGATGTTTGGGCCAAAAAGAAAGTCCGACAAGAACAAACAGAGATTAGGAGACATGATCTTATCAACCTGGAAGGGAAAATAATAGAAATGAAACAAAACACAAAGAGATCGACAAGAGTAATTAACCTCAACAGGACAGGGAATAGCGAACAAAAGAAGAGAAAACGAAAAATAGGAAAGAAACAAAGGACAAGAAATCATAATTTGATCGAGAGGCCACGCAAACATGACAGCACGACAAAGACCAGAACGGTTGTTCTTATCCGAATCAATTTCTTAGTTGATTTTCGCTTCGGTCGCTACCTCCAAATATCACAGGGTCACAATCCATCGTCGACGCTCCGTGCCTGAGTGTTCCTTTAGATTCAAGCTTCCCTGGAAGTAGATCGGTGGCGGTTGGAAATTGGAAATTGTCCGTACGATTCTTTGCTATAAGTTCGATTTGTTGTTCTCTTTTGCATGCAAATTTTAGCCAAAGCGTTTCTGAGTTTTTTTGAACCATGAATTGGATGTTGATCGCGATTCATGCAGGTTCTAAGTAGTTGGCTAAAAAATTGATTTGAGTAAGTACCCAGAATATTTAGCATATTTATCCAGCTACTGTAATATTTAGTTTATGGTTGAATCTTGATTTAGGTAATCGAAAGTGACAACAACTTTCATGTACATTCACCATAGCACAAGAAGTATGAGCATATTTTTTGAATGATACAGTGGACTTTATTTGGCAATGAATAAACAGACAACAAAATTGCGCGAGTTCGGCGAAGAAAGTGAACTCTTCGCCAATCTCTAGAAGAGTGGTCAACGAGGACCTGGTGAGGAAGCACTCCGACCAGCTAAACTCCGTCGTCAGGTACCGGTCATGTCGAGACGTGCCCCAGCCTTTCTACATCCAGCTCCATGCTACCACCGTCACCATGTGCCCTTCATGCTAGTGCGTCACCACGACCAACACCTCCACCGCTTTCGCCGCTCGCGCATCCACCTCCCCCAGCCCAATCACCATCGTGGTGGCTGTTGCCACAGACGACACCAACAATTCATCAACAACATTGTCTTTCGGTAAACTTGGCGGTGGCGGTGAAAGATATGACAGCAACAATATTGTGTGCATCAGCTCCACAGCAACAGCAACAACCTCAACCTACCCAACCAGTCGCGTCATGACTCAAAAAGGAAGGCTGCAGCTCCTGATAAACCACATGAAATGGTTGAGGATAATAACAATGAATTCCATGAAATGACCATCCCATGAACAATTATGCAACTGTAGAAGAAACAAGTAGGGGAAAAAAAAGAACGAAAGAGCACCCAACGGCTCGAGAAAGGAAGAAAATTGTGAGAATCCCCTTCAAAGATATGAACGATTTTATAGGAATGGAAATGGACAGCTATGTGATGATACCCTTTCATATTGTAAGAAGATAAAATAGTGAAGAAGACCCAAGCATAGTGTACGTCTCTTTCATATTGAATACAAGAAGATAAAATAGAGAAGAAGACCCAAGCATAGTGTACGTCCCTTTCATATTGAATACAAGCAGACAAAATAGAGAAGAACTCACCTAGTCGCGTCCACAGGGGAGGATCTCCTCCTTAGCTACAGTTCGCTTCCGTTCAAAATTATATGTTAGAATAATTGTCCTGCTTGGGAAATCGATTAAACCTCTCTAACTTGCAGGAGAGAGAGAGAGAACAAGCTGAGGGACGGAGTCGTCATTTTCTAGCACCTGCCCTTCGTCTTCGCTCACTCTCTCTCTACTCTCTAGTGATATTGGTATTGCCCTCACCTTCCTTTATTAAGTTATATTATTATTATGTGACCTTTTTATTTTCTCCTTTTTCCTCAAATACTCTCACATATAATTACATCAGTGGGAGAAGCCGAGGGTTTCGGTTCTCTCATTCCCTTAACTTTTTCTTCTTCTCCCATTCCTCGTTTCTCTCTCTCGGTGTTCGTCGTCCGGGAAAGGCTCAGTGAGATAGTGTGCGTCTCGATTCTCTCCCAAATTCATTTCGTTGACTGTTCGTCGGCGGGGACTGTAATTGGGGTTTTCTCCGTCGAGGTTAGTTTCGGCTGTCATCGAGTCAGAGCGAGAGCCTGTTCGTCTCTGCTGTGTGTCTTGCTTTTATTTCCTGCTTCGTTGGTAGTAGAAGAGTGTCGTATGCGCTCTGTTGAATGGATCTGCGTTTTCTTCTTCTTCGCTTGATGTTCTGGTGGTGGTTACACTGTTTCGATTTTGCTTGTTCAGTGCCATTCCGGGTGTGGAATTCTGGGGATGCTTCGATTTTTGTGTTTCTGGAGTTGAGGCCGTTCCGGTGGTTCTGGCTGGTTTGTTTTGGGCCTTTGAGTTTAGTAGTGCGGGATGTGGGTGCTCGTTGATTGTTTTGGAGTTTCTTAGGGATCTTTCTGCTTGTGGTTTGATACACTTCTAGGGTTTTGAGATATATTCGTCTTGTTGCAGTTAGGGTTTTGATGGCTCTAAAATGGAGCTTGAAACCGTTCTGTTTCCTGGGTTTCGTTTGTCACTGCTTTCCATTCTGGTTTGCCTGTGTGATGGCTCCGACTTTGGGAGAACGATTTCCATTTTCTGCCGTGTGCTTCTGTGTTTGTTTCTTTCAATCCGTGTCAGTAACTGTGTTCCTACACTTCAGATGTTAACGTTTGATCGTTTCTGAGGCCGAGAATGGCCTTGAAACTGTTGATTTTTCGTGGGGTTGTTCACTGCTTTCCCATTTTGTTTTGCCCGAGTGTTGGCTCCGACTTTGGCAGAAGGTTTTCTTCTGCTTTGTGCTTTTGTGTTCGTTTTATTTCAATCGGTGTCAATCTGTGTTTCTACTCTTTGGGTGTGACACTTGATGGGTTCTGAAGCTGAGAACTGCCTTGTTTAAGGAGGTGCTACTGGTATTTCTCTTTTTCTTTGTGAGGCTGGGGTTGGGTGTCTTGAGAAGTGAGATTTCTGGTGGGTGTTGCTACAATCTTCTGTCCAAATGTTGAAAACTTGTGATTATCGTCCAGTTTTCGGAAGGCATTGTGGTGACGACTAAGGATTTTGTTCTTGAAGCTGTTTATGTTGGGGATAGGTGTCTTGAGAAGTGAGATTTCTGGTAGGCGATATTAGGTCATGATCTGATGTCTGATTGGTGAAAACTAGTGGTTATCATTCAGTTTTGTGGTCTGTTTGAATGGTGAGCGTTTTTAGTCATTGGTGTGTTACATTCGAATGCTTATTGTTTGTAGTCTTAAGAAGTGTGAGTTTGAGTGGGTGTTATTAGTTTAGTTTAGTATCTGTCTGAATGATGTAAACTTTTGGTTATAGATCAGGTTTTGTGTTCTGTTTGAATGTCGAGCTCTTAATTTTTGTGGGTATAATTGCAGTACTGACTTTGAATGGTTTTGATACAGGTTTTGAAATGGTGAGGAAGAGGAGAACTGATCTTCCAGGTGGCGGTGAGGGCTCAGAGTCTTCACCTTGCTCTGATCATGGCTCACAGCAGCAGCCATCTGAGAGGAGTAGTCCACCTCAGCAAGGAGGTCGAGGTGGAGGTTCCCAAGGCGGTCGTGGTGGAGGTTCCCAAGGCAGTCGGGGTGGAGGTTCCCAAGGTGGTCGTGGAGGAGGTTCCCCGTATCAGCAGCAAGGTGGACGAGGTGGTGGTTATGGCGGTCGAGGCCGTGGTGCTCCCCAGAACAATCCATACTATGGGGGTTCTGGAGAGTATCAGGGTAGGGGAAGAGGAGGGCCACCCCAGCAAGGTGGTCGAGGAGGTTACAGTGGTGGTCGGAATGGTGGCCGTGAAGGAGGACCTCCTTACAGCGGGCCATCTAGATCACAAGTTCCCGATCTGCCCCAAGCAACCCCAGCTTCTTTTCAAGTTGGGTTGAGGCCTCAGCCCAGACATGCAGAGGCAAGCTCATCTCAGCCTCCTGAGCCTTCAACAGCTGCAATATCGCAGCAGGTCCAGCAACTAACAATTGAAGAGGAATCATCTGGCCAGGCTATTCAGGCTGCACCTCCTGCCTCAAGCAAGTCTGTCAGATTTCCCATTCGTCCTGGCAAGGGTACTGTGGGATCAAGATGTGTTGTGAAAGCTAATCATTTCTTTGCAGAGCTTCCTGACAAGGATTTGCACCAATATGATGTGAGTTTCTGATGCTGTATTTTATGTGGTTGTGTGTTATTTACTGCTCTCTACTGCTCATCATTAACTAGATGTCTTGTGAATAGGTCACAATTACTCCTGAGGTTACTTCGAGAGGTGTCAATCGTGCTGTTATGAACCAATTGGTAACCTTGTATCGATATTCACATCTAGGAGAGCGTCTTCCTGCTTATGATGGGCGGAAGAGTCTGTACACTGCTGGGCCCCTGCCTTTCACATCAAAGGAATTCCACATCACCCTAATTGATGAAGATGATGGAACAGGCGGTCAAAGGTGTAATTAAGTTACTGTGTAATTTTAGTCTATTTCTGTATTTCCCTCAGTTGCTTATGTTTCCTATATTTATACAGGAGAGAGAGGGTGTTCAAAGTCGTGATAAAGTTCGCTGCACGCGCGGACCTGCACCATTTGGGTCTCTTTTTACAGGGAAAGCAAGCTGATGCACCGCAGGAAGCACTCCAAGTTCTTGACATTGTCCTGCGTGAATTGCCCAACGTGAAGTAAGATTGGTGCTTCCTATTGTTGTCTGTCAGTATCTTTCTATTTTTGTTTTTTCTGTTTTTGGTATAGTAAGCTGAGTGACTTTGTCTTATAGTTACACCCCAGTTGGACGATCGTTTTATCACCCTGATATTGGAAGAAGGCAGCCTCTTGGTGAAGGTTTGGAGAGCTGGCGTGGTTTCTATCAAAGCATTCGGCCTACTCAAATGGGACTGTCACTGAATATCGGTATGCTTTTTGTTAACTCTTTTACGTGGGCCTTTTACCCTTCGTGCCCATGGTTGTCAATTATGTGCTCTAACATCCATGTTGGCTCCCTCTTGCCATAGATATGTCTTCCACTGCATTCATTGAACCACTGCCGGTTATTGAATTTGTATGTCAACTACTGAATCGTGATGTCTCCTCTAGGCCATTATCAGATGCTGACCGTGTGAAGGTTGGTGTTTTCATTGTTATAGTCCATTAATGTTATGCTATTTACCTTCTATCCTTAATGTGTGGGGATGTGTTATGTGTATGATGGAAATTGAGGCAGCATTGTACTTGAGAGTGGCAAAATGTCTTTTTGGTTGCGTAATGTTATACACCAACTGTTCCTACTATTATTTTTTTGCAGATTAAAAAGGCTTTGAGAGGTGTGAAGGTTGAAGTTACTCACCGTGGAAACATGCGAAGGAAGTACCGTATATCTGGTTTAACATCACAGGCAACTAGAGAATTGACGTTAGTGCCTCCCCCTGCTTGCATGTTTATTGTGGTCATGATTGAAATTCTTAATTTTATTACGTTCTTTCGTAGTCAAGTGAGGACCTATTCTGACTGAGTTGTCTTTCTTTAGTTTTCCTGTGGACGAAAGAGGGACCATGAAATCTGTCGTGGAGTACTTCTATGAAACTTATGGCTTTGTCATTCAACATACTCAATGGCCCTGTCTGCAAGTTGGAAATCAAGCACGGCCCAATTATTTGCCCATGGAGGTAAGAAACATGTCTGTTTTTATTTAGTTTTGAGTTCTGCTAGACCTGCTTATACCATTCTTAAACCAGGTTTGTAAGATCGTAGAGGGTCAGCGGTACTCGAAGAGGTTGAATGAGAAACAGATCACCGCTTTGTTGAAGGTGACCTGTCAGCGTCCTAAGGAAAGAGAGAATGATATTATAGAGGTAAAATATTACTGTAATTTTCTTAGCAGTTGGTTTTGAGATTCTTTTGGCGAGCTATTTGTCTTTTTATTGTGATACTCCATTTGCTTGCAATTTCTAGTTGAAGTGGCTTTTTGAAGTACCTGTTTATATATAACCTGGACTTTTAGTCTGTATTTCCATTCTAGCTTGTAGAGTTCTTTCTATTTCCAAGCTTAGTGTTGATTTGGATGGGAAGTGTAATGTGAAGCTCTTTAACTCTACAGATGGGAAGTTTTTTTCATGGATCTTCTTTGATTTGGGTTGATATCACTACTGGTTTTATTTATGTGACTAGCTTCTGTACAAAATGAAGCTTTGCGGCGAATGGTGATCTAGTGCATAGAGGGTTAAGTGTGCATATGAAGTTATTTGCATGTGGTGGCTGTAACTAATTATCCTTTATTGCATAGACTTGTTAATGCGGGAGAAGTAGATTCACTTTCTGTGATTTTGACAAATTAAACTTGGCCTCGTAGACTGTCCGTCATAATGCTTATCACAAGGACAAATATGCTAAGGAGTTTGGTATCAAGATCAGTGACAGGCTTGCTAATGTCGAAGCTCGTATACTGCCTGCTCCATTGGTATTGTTTGTTCAGACTCTGGTTTTCCGTTTATGTATATCTCTCAACTCTCAAGCATTTTAACATGGGTGTTCTTTCCAGCTGAAATATCATGACACTGGTAGGGAAAAGGATTGCCTACCCCAAGTTGGACAATGGAACATGATGAACAAGGTACGGTGTGAGTTTAGTTTGTCTGATAAAACTTATACTCTGAACGAAGTTTTATCCAACACATCTGATAAAACTTGTGCTTCGAACGAAGTTTTATCCAACACGTCTCTCTGATTGGCATCTATGAGGTATCCTAAGTTGTTTTCCTTCTTTGAGTACCTCTAGTCAGATGTTATCCTTTCTTAGTCAGTATTATCGAGGTGAATTTTAAGTCTATATAGATGCTATAATGGGTTGCTTGAACTATTGGATGCGTTTGCCTCTCACTGCTTTGGGTTGCGGTACAAGATAACTCTTTTGCTAGTTGGTACGCCAAAAACTTCCTAGAGGTTGTTGGTGAACTGAAATGTGGTCCACTTTAATGGTTAGTCTACACTTTGTTGCTGGTTTCTGCGACTGGAATGAATTGGATAGTGTAATGGTCATAGCTTTAGGGAATTATGAGGTAGGATCTTTGTGAAGGACTTATTTCTATGTTGAATATGCATGGATAAAATGTGGTGGCTTGTCAAGGGTACACGGATTCTGGTAGAATAAAATGTCTATTTTTATATGAATAATCCTGAGAGTAAGGGTTGTGGAAGGCCTCTTGAACCTGAATTGTAAAAATCTGTTTGTTTGAGATTCTTGTCGTACTTTTCATTGGGTTGTGATGAGAGTTCTACTCTCTGAATGCTGGTGTTGCAGAAAATGGTCAACGGTGGAACAGTGAACAATTGGATTTGCATAAACTTCTCTCGACACATTCAAGACAGTATGGCCCGTGGATTTTGTTATGAGCTTTCTCAGATGTGTCAAACTTCCGGAATGGTAATTAGTTTGTATACAATGTCTATTCATCTCCCCGTGATGGACTTTTAAGATGTCAGCAGACTACACAAATTCTTCCTTTTCCTGGCTTGGGTGGGGGGTCCTGGTTGTGATTGTGTTTCTATTTGCAGCAATTTAACTCTGAGCCGGTGCTTCCTCCCGTCAGTGGTAGACCAGAGCAAGTTGAGAGGTTGCTCAAAACTAGGTACCATGATGCTATGATGAAGCTGCAGCCAATGGGGAAGGAACTTGATCTGCTTATTGTCATCCTCCCTGATAACAATGGTTCTCTTTATGGTATGAAAATCTGTATTCAATGAGAGCAGTTCTGCTGTTTTTTGGGTGTCCAACTGAGTTTGTCTTTTCTTTTACTCAGGGGATTTAAAGCGGATCTGTGAAACAGATCTAGGGCTTGTGAGTCAGTGCTGCTTGACAAAACATGTTTACAAAATGAGCAAGCAGTACTTGGCTAATGTAGCCTTGAAGATAAATGTCAAGGTTGGAGGAAGAAATACTGTCTTGGTTGATGCGATATCTAGACGTATTCCTTTAGTTAGCGATCGACCCACAATAATTTTTGGCGCTGATGTTACTCACCCCCACCCCGGAGAAGATTCGAGCCCCTCAATTGCAGCTGTATGGATCTGTTGTTTATTTTCTCCTTGATACCTTTTGTTGAATGTGGTTGGGGTTAACATTTGCTTCAATATAATGTAGGTTGTTGCTTCTCAAGACTGGCCAGAGATAACTAAATACGCCGGGCTTGTTTGTGCTCAAGCTCATCGCCAGGAACTCATTCAGGATTTGTACAAGTCCTGGAATGACCCTGTCAGAGGCCCAGTTTCTGGTGGCATGATCAAGTATACCTCTCCATCTCTCCCATCCTCTTAAATCATACAGTTCAAGAAATCTTGGATTCAAGTTCTTTTTCACTAGTTGTATGGCCTTGCTTTATCATGCATTTTGTGATGATGATGTATGAACCACGTGGCTGTGCAATGGCAATTGTTGATTAATCTTCTATCTGATTTGGAAATTTTTATGTATTGTTTCTTGTCTGTTTTACTGCAGGGAGTTACTTATATCTTTCCGTCGTGCAACTGGTCAGAAGCCACAGCGAATTATATTCTACAGGTGGGGGGTTTTTTTTTTGTTTCCTTGGTCTCTTCTGTTGTCACAGGTTTTTAATTTGTTGATTCAACTGTTTGCTTGCAGGGATGGAGTTAGTGAGGGGCAGTTCTATCAGGTGTTGCTGTATGAACTTGATGCTATTCGGAAGGTAAACCCAAGAATTCTGAACTTACTCTTATTGCAGTACGCTGGATCTTGCTAGTGCATGTTTTTACTCCGTTGGGGCTCCTCGTGATTAGTTAGTTTGACTCAGTGTCTGGTTTTCATAAATGCAGGCTTGTGCTTCATTAGAACCCAACTATCAGCCTCCAGTAACTTTTGTTGTGGTCCAAAAGCGTCATCATACAAGACTGTTTGCCAGCAACCATAATGATCGTAATTCTGTTGACAGAAGTGGGAATATATTGCCTGGTAAGTATGGGTTTTCCCCCTGTTCATATTCGTGGTGGATTTACTGCAACTCTGAAGCTTCAATGTCGTGGTCTTTAAATTTTTTGTGGCAGGTACTGTTGTGGACTCCAAAATCTGCCATCCAACTGAGTTTGATTTTTACCTTTGCAGCCATGCTGGTATTCAGGTGATGTTAATGTTCTCGTAACTGTAGTTGAGCAGTATACAGATTGCTTCGCAGGAATATCTTAAGGGGTCGTTTGGATGGATCAATCTATGAGTCAATTTGATCAATTGTCTCGTTTTATAAACGAGACAATTAAAACGAGTCAATTCGAATTTCAAAATACCTCAGGCAGATTGATCCATCCAAATTTTTTGCTGGCAAACGAGGCAATTTGATACAATTGTCTCAAAACGAAACAATTGTGTCAAATTGGTCCGTTACAATTCCTCATCCAAAGACCCCTTTAGTTTCATGTTCCGTACATCTAATGGTAATATTTTTAACAGGGTACTAGCCGTCCGGCTCATTACCATGTTCTGTGGGATGAGAACAAGTTCTCTGCTGATGCGCTACAGTCACTGACAAATAACCTTTGCTACACGTAAGTGGTGAATTCCTTGAAGGCAGTATGGAATATTTTGATGTGGTGAATTGTGGACCCATATGAAGTTTGTTTCTCCTTTTTTTTTTTTTTTTTGGTGCAGATACGCCAGGTGCACTCGTTCAGTCTCTATTGGTCAGTTGCTGCGCCTTCCCTATCTCTTGTGATGTTGTAATGGGTTTTATTTTTCAGGGCAAGTCTTTTTGTCTGAAGTTCATGACGTTATCCTGTCTGTCCCACTTTTGCAGTGCCACCGGCATACTATGCTCATCTTGCTGCATTCAGAGCTCGTTTCTACATGGAACCTGAGACATCTGACAGTGGTTCGATGACCAGCGGGACTCAAGACTTTGGTCGTAGTGGTCCAGCAGGTGGGAGGGCAACCCGATGTCCTGGTGCTAATGCGGCGGTCAGACCATTGCCTGCACTGAAGGAAAATGTGAAGAGGGTTATGTTTTATTGTTGAGTGGATTTGCTGTGGGCAAATGGTAATTAAGGAGAGGGGAATGAGTAAGTACGATGAGGGATGATTGAACACATGTTTCGAATTCAGTCGGTTGTCTTTTACATTTTATGAAAGTATTGTTGATAATTTGTGCCTTCTGCTATAGGTGATGGTTTGATCTGATGAGCATTGTGCTCTTTCGCTTATTGCTGGGATACGTTTGGATGAATTGTTATGTTTGGTATGGTGCCGAATTGGATATTGTATTTGTAGTGGTTTCTTATCTGCTGAGTTGATTGAAGTGGTATGTTCATAGGGAATTTGTACGAGGCTGGCGTTGTGGTTCGTAGCTGTTTTCTCAACTCATCGGAAAGCTTGTTAGATTTTGGAATATGGAAGTCTGGTTTTCTCCAAGGGTGCAAGTTTGTGTCTTGTGGGAAAGTGAGTATATAATATAGGCATATTATGAAAAAATAACAGGCATGCGGAGACACCTTTCGTACTACCCACAAAATTCCTTTCCCTCCACTTTGGACATGGGAGGACACAATTCCATGGCAATCTCTGATCTCCCAAACAACAGAGAAATCAGAAATGGCGACAGATATTTAGTTGCTTCTGTGGGCCATATTTCTGCGTTTGTGTTTTGATTCCTTGCCTTAACCATTCTTCCTCTCTTCACCCTCAGCTAATGCTTCCTTTGTTTCCACCCTTTTGCAAAACCTCTCAACACATCATTCTCTCTTTCATCAAATCAAATGGCCTTCTCCCCTCATATGTACATATACAGCCCCCTTTCTGCATGAACCCCACAACAACAAACACATCAAAATACCAAACCACCTTGCCTGCTGTTACTGAAACCATACGAGAAGCAAACCTAGACCCCAACAATGGCTAAACAACCATCCTTGAAAAGAGCAGATAGGGTTGCCGAAACCATGCTCGACGCACTGAAGCAGAGCCGCTACCATATGAAGAGATGTTTTTCCAGGTATGAAGTTAATGTATCAGTTCTGGCTTCCTTCAACTCCTTTTTGGTCATCATTTGGTACCCATGTCGTGGAAGGGCAGTTTTTGGAAAGTGGGAAGAGGCTGATGAAGCACAAGAACATAATGGAGGAACTGGAAGGGACAATCCAAGACAAGGGTGAAAGAGACAAGGTTTTGGAAGGGCTTCTCGGTTACATTATGAGTTGCACTCACGAGGCAGCCCGTGGTGCCACCTTCCGTTGCATTTGCCGTGAGGCCTAACCCTGGTGTCTGGGAGTATGTCAAGGTGGGGGCTGATGATCTGAGTGTAGATGGCATCTCTTGCTCTGAATACCCGCAGTTCAAAGAAATGATCTACGACGAAAACTGGTATTGCCTCAGTCGATTCTCTAAGGACTACATGTCAAGTTTAACAACTGTTTTTTTGCTGTGGTTGACGGTCTCCAGCTCCGAGTACGTGCACGACAAAAGATGAGAATGCAGTGGAAGTGGAGTTTGGGGCATTTGATTTCTCTGGCCCTTACCTCACTCTTTCATCCTCCATTGGAAATGGGGTAAAATACATCTTAAAGTTCTTTTCAACAAAGCTTGACGCCAACTCCCATACTTCCAAGCAGTTGGTGGACTATCTCATAAGCCTCAACTACCATGGAGATGTAAGTAGAGAACATAAACATCATAAGCAACATCAGCTGGGGGGAAATAAAACAGAAGGGTAATTATTTGATCTACAAAATAAATGTGCAGAACCTGATGATAAATGAAACATTGGACACACCATCAAACCTCCAAGCAACATGGATAGTAGCTGAATGTTTCCTTTCAACACTTCCACAAGACACACCATGCCAGGATTTCCACCAAAGGCTGGGAGGGTGGGAATTCGAGAAGGGGTGGGGAGACGTGACTGGAAGAGTTAAGGGCACGATGGTGATGCTCTCCGAGTCGCTTCAAGTAGTCATGATCTGATATGGATCAGTATGTTGTGTTTCTTTAAAGGTAATTTATATTCTTGATCAAGTTAGAGGATTGGAGAATGTTAGATACATAATTATTTGGGTTTTCATTCTATCGGATTATTTATCATTGTTTTGAGAATTAGTACTATTTGGGGAATTTAGGGAATAAGTATAGGGTTATTTGATAAGTCAAATTAGTGAGGTAGTGGGAAGTAATTAGAGGAAGTATATATTATGTAATATGTTGGTTTGAGGAGGCAAGCAATTACATAAACATAAACCTAAACCTAATCTTCCTCTCTCTCCTTCTTCCCTTTGTCTCTCACTCTCTCTCCCTCCTCCAAAAGCTGCGACAGCAGCCTTCTTCCTCCCCCTTCCACTATTTCTAAAATTTCCCAATTCCAATCCCTAGCTCAATCGATCAAATCCCTAATTGATCTAGTTGATTTCCCCAATTCAGGACACGTTAGAAACCTTGTTTCTAACATCTGGTATCAGAGCCTAGCTCGAGAGTGAGTTCTTCTAAACTCTTGAACCAGGGCAAGCAAACAATGGTGTTGACGAAATCAATGACGACGGCGGAGAAGGATGAAAAGGCGGCGCAGGACAAGGCAACCCAGGCGAGGACGGCCGAAACACCCGTTGATGGAGTCGTGGAGGATATCACGGAGGACGAAGAGCTAAGGAAGATGGTGGAAACGCAAGCAGAAAGGCAGGTGCGGGTTGAGAAGGAATTGAAAGGGCTGCAGATAAAAGCAAGAGATCACAACCGCATCCTTGACGCGTTGCTGGCGGCGGTTGAAGCGCTGCAAGGTCAGATGAGCAGCCTGACGGTTTCGTCAGAAGCAACCCACGCGGCGCTAGAGGCTTGGAAGAGAAGCGGGCCGGGAGTTGGCGACGGCGGGAAGCCGGCAAAGGATGGCGGGACGCCGAGGGAGGGCTCCGCCTCGATGGCGGTGGTCGGCGGCAAGGGCACCGAGTCGTTCTCGGCTGGAGAAACGACGGAGGGAACGGGGGAGAAAGGAACTGGGGTGGCGGCCAACCCTAGCCGGCCACCTTCCTCGCATGCGGGCCACGTCTCCTTCGGCCCAACGAACAAGGGCGGCCTGTTACCCACTCCGACGGCCCAGGAAGTGGCGGCCGCGTGGGGTAAGGCCAAGATGCCCGGGTACGTGGACCAGGACCTGCAAGCAGGCCTGAACTTGGAGGATCTTGAGGATCCGGAGCAGGAGTGTGATCAAGGGTCGTGGGCCAACGAGCAGTGCTGGATAGGGGCGGATCACAGAGAGGATGAGTTCAGCTTGGTGGGCTGAACCAGGATGGAAGGCGGGCCTGGAGGGAGTCGGGCCAAGGATGGGAGGCTGGGCGGCCGGGTGCAATGGGCCAAAACCAAACCGGTCGGGCTGACGCGAGGCGAAACGGGATGGGTCGGGCCAAACCCGACCGGACCGAACCCGGTTGAACAAGACCCGGTCGAACCGGTTCGACCAACCAGTTACCCGAATCATGCGGGCAGCAGGGGCACCCCAGGCCCTCAAGGTCAGTTCGACGAGTACAGCGGGCCCAACCCACTTTTTACGAACCAACGGAGCACGGGGAAGGAACCAATGGGAACGTGGAATGGTGATCGAAGGCAGAGGAATGAGCTAGGCCGGCGAGCGGGGTACCGGGACGAAGGGGAGGACAACTGGGGGCGTGAAGGACACCCGCGATTCTCGCAACACTATTCCAATGGGCCTCCAGGTTATGGAAGGTATGTCGGTTATCCCCGTGGTTTTGATGATGGGGATGACATTGTGTTTAGGGCAAAACCTCCCACCATTGAGTTTCCAAAATTCAATGGTCGTGAGGATGCGGGTCTTTGGTTGTACTTAGCTGAACGGTGGTTCAATAACCACCCCACCAGGGAAGAACGAAAGGCACAGCTAGCCTCCTTTTACCTGGAGGGGGATGCGCTGCAGTGGTGGGAGTGGATGGAGCGTACATACGCGGAAGCCTAGACACTAATCACTTGGCCCATGTTCAAGGAGGAGCTGCGGTATCAGTTTGGGAAATCTGAAGGATGGGCTCCGGAGCAGTTGGCCAAGCTGCGTCAGACAGGGACGGTAGCGGAGTATAGGGCTGAGTTCTTCAAGTTGGGTAATCAATGCAAGGGCATCCCAGAAGAAACATTGGTGGGCCTATGCATGGCGGGACTCCGCCCAGAGATTGCAGCCGCAGTTCGGGTCTTTGAACCTGATTCGCTGCGGACTGCTTTTCGTCTTGCAGGTAACAAGGAGGAGGAACTGGCAAGCTGGCGGGGAGTGATAGGTCGATATTAGAAGCCCAGTGGGGATGGAGGCGGTAGTGGGCCGAGTAGCGGGCCGAGTAGCGGGCCGGTGGTCTCGACGGGCCAGAGCACGGGAGGAGGCGCGGCGACGGGCCACCCACGGCGACAATTCGAGCATGACCGAGGGCACCGTCCAAAGGATTTACCAGGCTGTCCCTTGCAGAGATCGAGTAGAAGAGGCGGGAAGGAAAGTGCTTTAACTGCGATGAGAGGTTCACTTTTGGTCACAAATGCGGGAAACCTTATCTAATGTTCTTGGTGAGGCGCTGGGAAGATGAGGCGGAGGAGGAAGTCACAGAGGACCCAAGGCCGGTGCAGGAGTAGCTTCAACCTTGAGGACAAGGTTGTTCTCAAAGAGGCGGGGATGTTAGAAACATAATTATTTGGGTTTTCATTCTATCGGATTATTTATCATTGTTTTGAGAATTAGTACTATTTGGGGAATTTGGGAAATAAGTAGGGGGTATTTGATAAGTCAAATTAGTGAGGTAGTGGGAAGTAATTAGATGAAGTATATATTCTGTAATATGTTGGTTTGAGAAGGCAAGCAATTACAGAAACATAAACCTAAACCTAATCTTCCTCTTTCTCCTTCTTCCCTTCGTCTCTCACTCTCTCTCTCCCTCCTTCAAAAGCTGCGGCATCAGCCTTCTTCCTTCCCCTTCCCCTATTTCTAAATTTTTCCAATTCCAATCCCTAGCTCGATCAATCCCTAATTGATCTAGGTAATTTCCCCAATTCAGGACACGTTAGAAACCTTGTTTCTAACAGAGGAGGAATTGCTTCAGAAGATCAAGTTGCAGGGACTTAACTTGAAGTCCAAAATCATTATGGTTAGCCTCATTACTATCTTTGATGATGGATAATAATGGACAGGCTCATTCGTCCATTGTCCGGCTAATTGTTTCGTTTTCTTATGTGGGTTTCAGATAACAAGGTTGATACCAGAAGCTTGAGGCATGAAATGCGACCAAGAAGTAGAGCCTATTGTGAACACGAAGCACTCTTATATTCTCAGGCTGGCCTTCAAGACAAGTAAAGGGATTAGCCTTCCACAATGGCTTTCCTGTTTCGATGTGTACCCTTACCTCGAGAGGTTAGCTAAGACAAGTAAACTTGCATTGCTTTCCTTAATACCATTTCCGTATGTCTGGTCTTTCCATTTTATTGACAATCAATCTGTATATCGATTAGCAGGATGCTGCTCATGCAATTCTTGAGCACACAGAAGGCAAACCAGACCTCATCATGGGGAACTATAGTGATGGGAACTTGGTGGCCACTCTTGTGGCCAGTAAACTTGGCTTCCCTTTGGTATGATAATCCTCTTCTCTTTAACACGAATCAAGTTAGACGACACTTCTGAGTTCTTGATCTTTATGATGTTGGTTGTTGTTGCAGCGGACAATTGCTCATGCTTTGGAGAAAACCAAGTATGAAGACTCAGATGCCAAGTGGAAGGAGCTCGATCCAAAGTACCATTTCTCATGCCAATTCACAGATGACATGATTGCAATGAATGCTGCTGATTTCATCATCACCAGCACCTACCAAGAAATCGCTGGAAGGCATGTTGGTTCTTTCCTTGTACAACAACTTATCTATATGTACTTCTCAAGAAATTACAGTGAAAATCTTTTGCTCCCTTTTCTGCTCAGCAAGGAAAAGTCAGGACAGTATGAGAGCCACACTGCCTTCACAATGCCAGGGCTGTGCCGAGTTGTATCCAGAGTCAACGTTTTCTATCCAAAGTTCAACATCGCTGCACATGGAGCTTACCAATCTGTCTACTTCCCAAACACCAAGAAGTCAAGAAGGCTGACCTCTTTCCATCCTGTCGTTGAAGAGCTGCTCTACATCAAGGATGAGAATAGTGATCACATGTAAGTTAATTTCACCAAACTCTTATGGCTCACATGTTTCTACCTTGAAACCAAACCAATCAATGCCTAAGGGATTGAATGATCAGTGGGTACCTAAATGACCTGGAGAAACCGATAATATTCTCCATGGTGAGGCTGGACATAGTGAAGAACGTGACAGGGCTCACAGAGTGGTATGGAGAGAACAAGAGGATAAGGAACTTGGTCAATCTTGTCATAGTTGGAGGATTCTTCAACCCATCGAAATCGAACGACAGAGAAGAGATGGCTGAGATTAAAAAGATGCATACTTTGATGGAGAAGTACCAATCGAAGGGACAAATGAGATGGATTGCAGCTCAAACCGATAGGTACCGAAATGGAGAGCTTTACTGTTGTATTGCAGACACCAAAGGAGCATTCGTGCAACCTGCATTCTGCGAGGCGTTCGGTCTTACCGTAATTGAAACCATGAACAGTGGGCTGCCAACTTTTGCCACCGTTCATGGAGGGCCTGCAGAGATAATCGTTGATGGGGTCTTGGGCTTCCACATTGAGCCTTACAATGGAGATGACATGGGGAGCAAGCTTGTTGAGTTCTTTGAGAAGTGCAAGGCGCATCCTGGTTATTGGAATAAAATATCAGCTGCTAGTCTTCAGAGAATCAATGAATGGTAATGCAGAAGTAGCAGTTTTCTACTGAAGCAGCAAAAATGGTTTTGAAAGAGGTTTCTTGTTCTTCCCCAATTGAAGTAGAGGCACAAGCAATTCTTGAAGAGTGACATTGTGCCCTTGACGATCCCTCCCTTCAGTGATCATATATGATTGTAAAGTTCTGGTGGACACTGTTAACAGTGAACCTGCACAGTGGCCTTGGCGGTGTTATGCGATCATGTCTTCTATTTTCAGAATATTGCAACAAACGAGAAGGATCCACATTTCTTTCACGATACGTCACAACAACAAATGGGTTGATTGGGTTGGGCGGAACTGTCGTCTTAATAGCCTTCATCCAGAATGGCTTAATGTTCTCAATGTTGTTTCTGTTTTGCTGTAACTTTTGCTTTATTGGGGAATGAATGAATGATTCCACTTTTTTTTAAAAGAGAGGTAATATTAGCCCCTTGCACAAGTTCAAATGTGTCATGACAAATAGGATTTTTGAGTTACCCCACCATGCCTTGCAGGTGAAGAAAAGTTTTGGGTTGAGTGATGAGCCATATAGAGAAGCAGAGGAAGCAAATGGAGCAATACAAAAATTTGAGCCATCTTCAAGCGCATCCCTATTTCCTCCAGCAATCACAACCAAATCACATCAGAAAGAACCCAAACTGAAAGAGGAAGTTAAGCCAATGGGTGCCACTCCACCTCAATCAATCATAATTCCATCTATGTTAAGATTATACCTTAACAATATATTGATCGGTTTTGAATAACGTATTATGGATGTCTTTGTGTTGTAGGCTTGGAGGCTTCGTACTTGAAAAGTCAAGAGTGGGCGGTCGATTATTAGCGGGAAGGGAAGATGGTGGGAGTGGGGCAATGAGTTGATCTCGGAGCCAACAGTTCTTTTGAATGTTATCTATGTTTATAGTGACTTATGCGCTAGTCAGAATGTATTATTTATTCTTGTGAACAGGCTAACTTGCAAAATGAAGGAACTAGTATAATACCATTATTTCTCCACTAATATTAATAAAGATGGTTACTCAATTCAATATTGCAAAATAAATAAATTCATTTAGAATTAGAGTGTTGATGCCAATTTGGCAATTTCATTTCATTTTTTGAGCACGGTCAACAAGTCAATTCTTATTTTAATTATGTAAAGTAAGGCCAATACTATAGTGCCGCCGTTAAAAGTGTGGCACCGGTGCCGCCTTGTTTAATTGGACCACGTAGCTGTTTGGGTGGCTTGGTTGGGCCTTTCTCAAAACCTAATCAAATCGGTCGTCCAGCCAAACCCGCATAGTGATCAGGAATATATAATTGTGTCCCCGTCGGAGCAACCAAACGTTTCGGCGAACATCTCAATCGTCGATGAAATCTCCTTTAAAGACTCTATTACTCCACTGGTCGGCCCTTTCGTCTCCCTGCTCTGCCCCCACCGGATTCACACAATTCTCTGCATCAATTGTAATTTGTGATTGCGAGAATGCTCACACAAGCTATGGAGATGGGGATAAACACTATCCTTGACTGTGTTTCTCCATCTACCTTTTCTCTACTTTGAAGTCATTGGTTTAGCCTTGCTCGACTTCTCATTGCCAATAAATAGAAATCAAAGGGAAGAGGGAAGATAGGATGAGAAGACAGGGGAACGATGAGCGGGGAGGGAGGGTGACGACGGGACAAAGGAATTAACTGAAATTCTTGCGAATCCGTTTGGTAAATTTGTTATGCACCTCTAATCATCGAAATCGGATTCAGATTTTGACGCTTCTAAGAGGGAGGGGGGACGCAGAGGGATGACAATTCTCTTTCTCGTTGGCTTGGGATCGTGTGGATCGAGTGGCAAAGAAGCATTTCGACGGAGATGAAGGACCGGCCAAGATGAGCGTCGGAAAAATTCTCCGAAACGGTTTGAACGGAGGCTGAGAGAGACGACGAAGTTCTCTCTATTGCTTTTCAGCTTCTAACCCGAAAACGAATTCTTGGTTAGTTGGGCGGATTGCAAATGATTGGACCAGATTCATGGTCCACGGGTTTGAGTTGGGTTTTTACAAGTTGCCACATCATTTTTCCAGCATCAACGTGGACCAATTAAATTAGGCGGCACCGATGCCGCAGTTTTTACCGCTGCACCGTAGTATTGGCCGTAAAGTAATAAAAGAAAATTGTGGAACGCCCAAGCCCAAGCTTAGGCCCAGTAGTCTTTCCAAATCGACAGTCCGCATAAGAACGTTTTATTTTATCTCCAGACCCGCTCCGGTTAGTGATGACAATTTCAACCCGCCCCGCGGGTATTACCCGACCTGACCCGCGATGGGGCGGGTATTACCCGACTCGCAGTAGTGTGGGGCGGGGCATGAGTATCTACTTCCGATCCACCCTGCCCCGTCCCGCCCCGTTCTAGACTCATTTTATCTCAATTTCATACAATATCATACATATTTCTCCTATTTTGACTTTTCTTCAACTAGTTAGAGTCGATCTTTCAACTTGTTAGGCTCAATTATTCATTTTATTATCAATATTTTTTATTCTTAAAGCATTTTTCCCTACGTTTTATTGTAAAAAGTAAAATTTACTTATATTTTTATTGAACAACATGTAAGAATGGGTCGACCCGCCCGCTCCATACCCGCACGGGTTTTACTCGCCTCACGCTGCCCCGACCTATAATAACGTTGGGCGGGGCATGAGAATTGAGGTACCCGCCCCGCCCCATTGCCATCACTAGCCCCGGTCGACACACTAATTCCTTTCTTTTTGCTCTACGAGACCAGCTATCGTTGCTCCAGCTATCGTGGCCGGCCGAAGGATCCAACACCGCAGAACCGCAAACGATTTCTCCAAACTCCGACGACCTGATCGGAGAGAGACAGACGCAGATTAGGAAGAAAGGTGAATTGGAAGAAAAATGCTTCTGAAGCAGCCTCTGTGGAGCTCGGGATTGAAGGATAGCACGAAGGAAGGAGAAGACCCGGCCGAATCGAACCAACAAACCACAACTTCATCTTCTTCGTCGGCGTCGGCGTCGGCCACCGCGGTGGAGGAGCTTGTAAATTCGTTAACAAAGCAGAGATTGTACCGGGAGGTAACTCTCGCCCTCAGGTCAAATCTCCGAGACGCTCGCGCCGAGTTCTCTTTCCTCCGCCTTCGTGGCCTCCGCTCCATCCTCAACTTCCTCAGATCCGTTTCCCTCTCCGATTCCACCATCTCCCTCTACTCGCTCACTCAATCCATCCCTGACCTTCAAGGTTAACATTCTTCTTGTCTCGCTGCTTTCCTTTCCTCTTCATCTGGAAATTGTTTTCATCATTTTGGTGTTCGTTCATTTCCCCTGGCTGGCAGTCGTTCCGGTGCTCTTCCAGCATTCTCTGAAAGATTCCGACGAAGATACGGTGGTAGAGAGCTTGGATCATGTTTTGGGCGTTGAGCCAATGCGGATCACGAGTCCTTCCACGGATGCAGAAGTGGCGCTCGCTCTCCGAGTTTTGGAAGGCTGTTGCCTGCTCCATAGGGAGAGCACGATCTTGGCGCATCACCACAAGGCGATTCAGGTCCTGACTGAACAATACCTGTATCCATATCTCACGCCACTCTTTACTATCGTGGAATCTGAGTTTGAATTTCGGTTGTGTTTGTTGCTTCAGGTTTTGATGCATATATTATCTACTAGAGGTGTGCTGGAACAAGGTGCCTGCTTGGATGCGCTGGTCGCCATCATGTTGGACTCCTCTCCTAATCAAATGGTAGTTTGGTACCCTTTTCCACTTTTCCTGCCTTCTAAAGTGATCATGTGATGTTAAGTTTGTTTGATGCTGATCATAGCACAGCGTTCTTCTTCTGCAACTGTTATAAGAGTTGTTGAATGGTTTATGTTGGAGAATCATAGACTTAGATTGCTTCTTTTGTGCGTAAGGGTATTGATTGGTTTTTATAATCTAGTATCTGGAGGTATTGATACATGAGAGGATTATATGTTTTCATGCCTATCCCACATGGTTGTGTTAGTTGGAAACGGGCAGGAATTGGGTTCCGAATTCGATAACGCTCTAGAGCAGGTGAAGTAGTTAAGGATTCATTAGATATTGAACCTGAAAATAATTTGTGTTGGAGTTTTATTCCTTGCAAGATGGTAAAGGTGAAGAACCTATGTCTCTGCTTATGCATGGAAGGCTGTTTCTCAGCAAGTTTTTCCCCGCAGGATTTTGAGGACTGCAATGGCATTGAGGAAGTGGCGATGCTCATCAGGGACAAGCAAGTAGACGAAAATCTAAGGTTTTTTTTTTTTTTTTGTTACCAACTAATTAAGTTATGGTCTTTCTCTTTGCTCACTTCTAGCTTCCATGTTGTGCTCTCTTCCTCACAAAACAGGGAACGTGTTTGAAAATTTAATTCCCAGCTCTGAATGTGCTAGTCATGGAAATGTTGACTACAGAGTTAGGCTTATTGCTTCTCTGTAACTGAAAAAAAAGCGATATAGATTATGCCTTTTGACTTCCCCGTGTTTGCTCTGTATTTGTGCTTAAACCTATCCCTTAATGTTATTGGTGAAAGACAATAGGGTCATCTGCTGACTCAAACATCCTAATCCTCCCTAAGAATGCTCTTTAAGCTGAGTTCTCCTTGCACTTTGCTTAGGTCTCTACATAGTTTTCTTAAAGCCAATTAGCTATGCTTCTGAGATTATAGACAATAAACACAGAGCTCAGGGAAAATGTACGGCTGTCTTTTTACCTTTTTTCAATTGGTAATGTTCCTACAAGACCATTATATCATTTATTTTATTTAATGTTAAGTGTTGACACAGTTCTTGGGAGTTTAGTTGGAGCTCTCACAAACCCAGCTGGAACATAGTCTCTTGAATATTTAACTATTCATTCTGTTTTATGCCTTTTGTCAATGTTTAACATTTGCAGCCATGTTGCTCTGTGTCCCGTCCAGTTCTGCCTCAGTATATTGAACTTTACAAACGCAGACATGTTGCTCAGAGAGACTTCTGTTGCATGATTAGATTCTTGATTCGTGATAATATTATCTGTCTTGATGATTACCTGTGTTTCATTTGCCGACTAACATGAGCATTGCATTGTAATCTTGTTTGGTTTGCTTTGATTGTCCAAATATTGGATGTGAACTTTTCTCGGTGTGTGGTTGCAGTAGTTAACTGAACAATGGTTATCGATACTGAATACAGTCTTCTATCTTCCTCCTTTGGTTGCTTTCGCAGGTTGAAATGTGGTGAGTTTTTGCTTCTGCTTATCGGCCACGTGAATGGGAGGCAAGGGTCTCCCATGGCTTCTGTGCACGAGGACATAAGGCGACTGCTCGGTGAGAAATCAGCATCTCTGATATGGGCAGCCAGTCAATTTGGGTCAACCCTTGGGCCAGAGCAGAGGTTAACCGCTCTCCAGATCCAGGCTCGGAGGGTGCTGGAGTCCCTAGATCTTTACTAAACCCAGTAGGCCACCACATCTATTTTGCCGCCCTTCTAAGCTATCAACTGGAACAAAACGTGCTACTACACTGGAATGCTTGTTGAGAAGGGGTGTGTCTTGACTTGAGGAGAGTCTGTGATCTGTAGTCTTCTCTCACCTCGTGTTGTGGCTTCAGGGAGAAGATTTTGAAGACGAGGCCCCAGCTTTTGCATATGCTGGGAAGGAAATCACTGGAAATTGCAACTTTGTTATACATGTTATTGTGCTTGCTTGTCTGCTGTGAACAAATGTCATAATCTAGCATTCTAAACCTACAGGAAAAGCAAGTTACAATCTGGATTGTGCAATTTCGATGCCTGGGCACAAAGACTTTGTCGCATCCAGCAAAAGGATTGAAACCCACATTATGCTAGTTACACTTTTATCCTGTAATTAAGGTTTGGTTTGGAGATTGTTTAAATGGATGCATTCTATGAATTTATGTATTTTACTTATGTAATTGTTTAAATAAATACATTTGACAAATATTTGGAAGACGCAATTTTATCTCTTTGAAAAAAACAACTCAACTTTTAATGGAGAACGTGCAATAAGGACAATTACCACGGATAGTAACTGCAATTACTGCAAGGAGAATGAGGAAACGATTGACCATATACTCAGAAAATGTGAGAAAGCAAGAAAAACATGGGAAAGGTTTCGACACAAGCTGGCAAACAGGAACTCTGATGGCTGTTTCCAGAACTGGCTCATGGAGAATCTCCTTCATGAGGACACTGGAGTAGACTTTGGGGTCATTTGCTGGAACTTGTGGAAGCAGAGGAATGAAGAAGCCATGGATGGGAAATCATTCAATGAGAAAGGCCTCTACTGTAGGATTGATGCCTGGATGACAATCATTCACCAGGCTAAGCACAGAGACACCTTTGATTGCTGGAAACCACCAAGACAACATCAGACTGCAGGCATCACATGGAACCCACCTGAGGTTGGATGGATCCAGCTCCAAACAGATGGCTCGGTAATCCAACCCTCTGGAAGAGCAGCTGCTGGTGGCCTTCTTCGCGACCACCTGGGACGCTGCCTGGATGCCTTCACCTGCAATCTCGGAGTCTGTACGATCACGAGTGCGGAGCTCAAAGGGGCAATTGAAGGCTTACGGATGGATTGCTTGGGAAAGGGGGCACAGGAAAGTCATGCTCAACATGGACTCTACCACAGCAATTGACATTGCGAAGAATTGCATTGATGATGATCACAGACATGGGATCCTCGCTAGGCAATTTTTTGTCCTTCTTAACCGTGATTGGGAAGTTAGGATCGATCATGTGTTTAGAGAGGGCAATTTTGCTGCTGATTTCTTAGCAAATTTGGGTCATTCTGTAAATTTTGGCACACACCACTTCGATGTGTGCGACACGAACCTTGGGTATTGGTTGCTTCACGATATCATGGGCATTGCACATGATCGTGAGATTATTATTAATACGAATTAGACGCAATGGCGTCAATCTTTCTACCAAAAAAAAAACTTTTAATGGAGAAAGACAATCTCGAACAACAATTTTACCTATTTGTTGAGATTCTAAATCATCCAAAAATAGAAAATTTGAGAGGTTACATTACAAATCAAAAGATGAGGAATTTAATAGATTGTATTCTTTTGAATACATTATCTAGAACCACAACAAAAAACGAGCCTAAAGGTGCAACATAAATAAAGAAAGTTATTAAGTAAGCACTAGTCATAACGTCTTTGCTCAATCTAAGATTTGGATTTCACAAACAAAATCAATTGAATAAAAAGTTGGACTTTATTCATAAAAAATAAAAGGTCAATCTTTTATCTTTCAGAAGAACCAGGAAAGACGTTCATTTGTCCCCCTCTCCCGCCCCTTTAATAACACCTTGTACCAGACTGACAATTAAAAAGGGCTGCGGATTTTTTCATGTGTGTTGTGAATGGTGTCCTGAATTCTAGTTCTTTTTGGTATTTTATGTGTCAAATATATTTAGTATCCAATTCTTACATTTTGGTACTTTGACCTTCTTATAGGAGGATCTTTTTTAGACAGAGGCGGAACTACAACTGCAATAAGAAGAAAAAAAATGTTCGTTAAATGATTATATATAATAAATTTAATTGTATTTAAGGTGGGGGCGAATCTCACACAAAAAGTGTAGTATTAGGATTTTTTGAATAAATGGGTTGAGTGAGACAACAAGAGGAGTATGCAACGTTTAGTAAAAGGTGAAAACTAAATAAATTGAAGCGGATATTAAAATGACGTAAATGATCTTCTTATAATCACTCAGGAGCCTACAAAATTGAAATGCTGCCATAACATATTGCGAGATTGTGAATCTGGAAAATGCTTACTCCAATTTGACCCTTTCATGGAGAATTGGTTGAACGGGTAGTACACTCGATTGCGCTCGATTTTATTTCTTAATTTGGAGAAAGGTTACTTTTTTAATACTAATGTTTTTTACAACTATGGTTGCAAAAGAACCCTTTAGCCTGTTATATTAATCAAACCGGTACACAAAAATCTAGAGATTCATGGCTCATTACAATTTACAACCCACAAACTAACATCTCCAAAGAATATGATTCCCTTCTCTCTACATAGATGAATGAGTCTAATTTTAGTAGTAGTAATTTAGACGAGCAAACAGAAAGGAAAGACAAAAATATGTGTAATCAATTTTAGGGATTGACATTTGGTAGCAGTAGACTCTTCAGGCCCCTGGATTTTGGGCACCTTTTTTTGAGGGATTCAATTTAAAGAATTGTATATTTTCTTCCTTCTGAAATAAAAAAAGGTTTTTAAATTTGATTTAATTTAATTTTCTGAAAGAAAATTCTTTAAGCTCTCAATCTTTTGAAAGTTTATTTTCAATCGGTTTATTGTTCTAAAATCTCTTAAGGGTTCCTTTGCTGAGCTTCCTCTGTTCTTTTAGATCTCAATAACAGTCACCAAGTCCCCTGTTCTTGTTTCATTGAGGTACATATTTGCAGTTGCATTTCCTATTCTTGTTGTTGCTACATGGGGTTATGTGAGAATAAAAATGCTTTTCAATGGACGAAGCTTAATTTTCTTTTCTTAAGAAAGCGACATTCATGTCTTTGTTAGAGATATGTCGAGCATTCGAGCTTCGGAATCTTATTTCTAGGTTAATCCAAAGAGTTGTGCGCGATAGTTTTATCCTACTGATATGACTTTGCAAAGTAGTACCATGAGTTAGGAATTGACGACTTTGTCGAATTTTCTTCGTATTCAGAAAAGAAAAACTAAACCAATACGAATATTTTTATCCGTATACACCATATAGAAATTCCAGAGCGAAGTCCTCCATTTTCAATGAGAGCTTAGGAGTTTATATATAGATGGGAAGCCTTTTGCTAACATCTACGGGTTTGTCATGGTGGTCTGCCTATATAGAAACATTCAAAAAACACAGTTCGTATATTTCTTTCTATGTAGAGAACATGTAATATACTTGATTCATGGCACTTACTTGCAACCATTAACTTAAAAAATTATGCCAAAAAACAGGATCTGGAAAATCGAGACATCGATGCAGAGTGCCTCTTGAAGATATCAATTCTGACAGGCCAGCTTTTTGCAGAAAACAGGGGAGGAACATAGTGACTCTCCTGTGCAATATGAGGCTCTATACTAACTCGGAGTTTGAGTTGAATCACGTTCGAGTACGAGTTCGCTGTTGGTTTTCTGCTGCTGAATGTCATTGTCTGTCTATGAAGACAATGGTTTGTTCAGCATTCAGAGTTTTTTCACACAGATAAGCAAATCTATGGATTTTCTGTACCTGGTTTCCACACCATCTGTCAACGTGTTCGCTGCTGCCACAACAACTCAATCCATCACTTCTTCTACAGCCAAAATCACGGTCTTCGGTGCTGCCAGAGTGCAGCATGAGGTTCGAAATCAGGATGCGTCTGAGGTTAATGGTTCCAGTGGCTTGATTCAACAGGGGTGTAAGGAAATGAGTCCACCAGGTAATAAGGTTGGGAGGAAGAGTTTGAAGAGGAAAACAAGAAGGAAGGTGAAACAAAACCTGCAGAGCCGTCATGTGTCATCATCCCATGATACTTCTGTTGGCTCCAGTGTCCTAGAAGTTCAGTTGGAAGAGCCCTGTGGAAGCTTGGCTGCTCAAACACCACTCTCGGAATGCAGCATTAACAGCAAAACTGAAGGAGCTGGTGTCATGATCAATCCAGTCGGCTTCCATAAACCACAGAAGAAAAGAAGAGGCCATGTTGTTGTTGCTCTGCCTTCTTCTGCAGCAAAGAAAGGTGTGTCTACCACGACAACAACTGGAACCACCGCAACAACTAGTTCGCGTCAACAAATCGCTAAGGAAAACAGCTACTCCGTGTGGCAGAAGGTTCAAAGGAATGAATTGGAGGTACGTGAATCTGATGCGGTAAAGATTGGTCATGCGCGGAAAGAGGGTGCTTTTGTTAAAAGGAATCATGTAGAAGTGTCTAAGGTAAACACACCATCCAGAGCAAAAGATAGAAGGCAGCCAAAACACAATGCTCCAAAGAAGTTGAAAAGGAGAATTCTGCACTTGAAACGAGATACATGTAGCAAGTGTCGTGGCTTCAGAGCCTCATCCCCCCACAAGTTTGGTCTTAATGGTAAAAACATGGTAAAATGTGTTCCAAGGCTGTCTTATAAGAACGATTTCCCTGAATGTGGGTTCCAGTCCCTTATACTTGAGTATGTCGATCCCAAACCGGCAGATCATGATTTGCATGTTGCCAAAAATGACGCATCAGAGCTTGCCAAAACTAGCCATGATCCCGAGCATAGTATGACAGAGAACTTCACGGAGAGTCGGGATGCCTCACTGTTGGAGTTGTGCAATTCTTTGAATCAAAATGTACTTCAGGTGCAGGAGCACCCAGTTTCCACACCTCAAGCTTTGCCCAACAATAATGTTTACCACATAACCAAAGAAGTTGAAACTACATATTTCAACAAGCAGAGCCATGGCTCCTCTGGATCTATTCTGCAGAAGTGGATACCCGTTGGGGTAAGGGAACCAGAGTTCACCATGTCTGATGAATTGGAGAAGACGAAAGTTGCCACCAATTCCCCAGATCAAGTTTCTGAAGATGACGACATTTCTAATAGAGATGAATCTGATAAAAAGATGGACAGTTCATATGATTCTAGATCAGAGCAAGTTAATCAAGGTGTAGCTAGTACTTGCCTAGTAATCTCACCTCGTCTTCAAGAGTTGACTACTTCTGAAGTTGTGGGTTTGGAGGGGATATTGAAAGCGGTACATGATACACTTGAGATGCAATTGGCATCTGAAGCCATAGAGGTAGCCACAGGCTGTCCAATAGCCGAATTTGAAAGACTTCTTCATTCATCTTCTCCGAGATGCCAAAGCCGGTCACTCAACCAAGTTTGTCAGACACCACTTGGCAGAAACGAGACACCTAACATTTCTCTCCAATCTCTATGGAAGTGGTACAAAAGGCACGGGATATGTGGGTTAGAAGTCAGAGCAGAAGATCATCGAAACTCAAATAGATTCGGCATTGATCAACTTTCATTCCGTGCTTACTTTGTTCCCTTTCTATCAGCAGTTCAACTGTTCAGGAAGAGCGAGGGGAAAGCTGATACACAGACTAATGACTCGGTCCAATTTGTTCCTAAGACTTCAACCGGGCATAAGGCAGAGCTCCTTTTTGAATACTTTGAATCAGAAAGACCTCAGATAAGGCAACCACTATATGAGAAGTAAGAAACAATCCCACAAATGCATGTCAGTACTGCTCTCCAGGTTTTATTAGCTTTATGACGTTTCTTTTCATTCTCGATTTCAGGATACATGAACTGGCCAGAGGTGATGACCATTCAGGGAGGAAAATGTTTGGAGATCCCTCTACTTTGGTCTCTATGAATTTACCAGAACTGCACAAAAAATCATGGTAACAAAAACGATATCTGAATGCTAAGACTGCTTTCAGATACACAACATCTTCGTTGCAATAGGCTAGTGCACCATAGAGTGATTTTTTCATAGTTCTCTAACATTGTCAGGTATTCGGTGGCATGGTATCCGATATACAAGATACCAGACGGCACCTTACGAGCTGCATTCTTGACATACCATTCATTTGGACATTTGGTGGAAAGAAGACCCAAATTTGGTTCTCGAACCATGGTTTGCCCAGTTGTGGGTCTCCAGAGTTATAATGCTCAGGTGACTATAAGATGTCATAAATTTTATGTTTCTTAGTATCTTAGCTTCACTTTTTCATCATTGCAAGACATTGAGTATCTTTCGAAAATCACAGTGTTCTATCTTGCTTCTTTTTACGGTCTTTCAATATATTATCTGAATGAATGCATTTTGATCTAAGTAGGAGGAGTGCTGGTTTCAACCACGGCATCATGCCATGGATTGCCAGGCGACAGAAGAAGGCATGTTGGAACCAAGCCAAGTCCTGAAGGAGAGGCTGAGAACACTTCAAGAGACGGCAAGTTGCATGGCTAGAGCCTCAGTAAACAAAGGTGATGAGAAGTTTGTGAAGAATTGGCATCCTGACTATGAGTTTTTCCTCTCCAGGCAACTCTAGTTGATGAGTTTGTGTTGATTCAAGTGTTCCACATACTATTTTGGTGTGTGTTAAGTAGTGTAGAGGGGGAAAAGAGGCAAATAAAGCCTCTCCTTCCTTAAATATTGAAGAATGTTTCTTTTTCTTTGTTTAGATTAATACTAGTTGATCAAATTTCACATCACATGTACATACGTACATACACATAGGCAGCAAATTTACTGTAAAAAACTTGTTAGATTAATTATTGTTAATACGTTATATGTCACTAGTCAGGTAATTAATTGATGTAAAATTATGATGTAGAATCAATGGTATCTTGACTATAATATTTGTACAAAAGTTTGCTTGTTAGACTGGTTGTACTGATACAGTTTCAACAACAATCTCTCATCTATAAATTTTTTACCGGTCCGTATGAAAAAATTGTATCAAATGCAGAAATATTAACGTTACAATTGATTAACTGGACACATATCTTAGGAAAAGCACTGATGAATAGACAACTCAATAATGGTATTCTCAATGAGTACATGGAGATTAACTTGAATACTTCTCTCTGCCACATACTTGGAAATTCATTAACTGAGCATGGATGCCTTTGTCTGCATGGAAATTAATTAGAGATGGTTGTCGCAACTTCCCCTCGAGATTGGGGGATCCGTTGCGAATTGCTCGGAGTCGTCATCGATCTAAATTGAAGTGGATCGAACAGTCTTTGGTTGATTTTAACTTTCGGAGTTAAACATTAATGACTAGTCTGCGAATTAGAATTCTAGGTTCGAGAGTACGGTTACGTGTGAGGAAGTGTATTCACACCCACAACGTCCTAAATTGGTAATACCTAAATCGATAAGTTTAAAGGATTGAGTGTATTATTATTATTTGGCTTTTTACGTATTTAATCATAGGTTTCAATTGATTAGGTGTTTATTTAAACTATTCGATCTTACATTTATTGAGGTAAATCGCATAAGTAAAGAAAGTTTTTGTTTAGTTGGACTCGAACCTATTGGTTGCCTACGTACCCGAGTAGTCGCGATCAAAGTTCACGTAGTTCGATTATTATGAAATTTTTTGAAATAGGAAACCTAAGACATTCTATTGACTGTGTTGAAGGGTTATAATCGAGCTTTCATGAGAAAATGTATTTTGATTATTTTATCATGACTGAGTGATTAACGATTTTCGAAGTAGTTTCCATTTGAGAGATTATCACGATCTATTGACCTTGATCTCGTTTAAGGGATTTTTCTAGAAAAAAATATAAGTGTATGAATAATGATGCTAAAATGAGGATAGTAATAAAATAATATGATGTTTAGAGGCGTCTAGAAATAATTGTAGTTAAGCAGAATTGCGAATTTTAACACTCTTAATTGGTATGAGGCTTTGCGTTTTAAACTTAATTCAAATAAAATAAAATCAAAGGAGAAGGTGGTATGCAGATTTTTTGGAGAAAGGTGAGGCAAGATAGTAATTCGAAAAAGTCTAAAAAGGAGAAGGGGCAGTGAACCCTAGCCGCCTGCCTACTCCCCATTCCCTCTCCTCTCACTTCTCTTCTTTTTTGTCTCATCTCTTTCATTTCCTTCTGAGAATGACGAGATGAAAGGATGCCACGACGGCATCGGCGGGTATGACGGCTGTCGACGCTGGCGATGATGGAGACGAAGGTAAGAAATCGGATTTTTGGCTTGCATGTTGATTTTTATGGTCTGATTGTAGGTTTACATAGATTTTAATGAATTTGTTTGTGCTTGTCACGAGGGAAAGGGAAACGGGAGGAAGATCGAGCCAGATCTCAGTGGAATTAACGTCTGGCGGCGTCGATCTAAGCAGATGATGGCATCGGTGGCGGTTAGTGACGACGAAGCAGAGAAAACAAAGCTCCCGGCGAGACCTCGTCGGCTGCCGACGGTGACATATTAGCAAACCAATCCAAGAAGGTAGGTTTCATTTCTATATTTATGATTTTAGTAGTTGCTGAATTTGGTGGATCTTAATTTTATTAATTTTCTTTTTTTGGTTGGGGTTTATGATCACGAATCGAGGGGAAAAGGAGGCACAAGGTGGTCGTCGGCTGCACTAAGCTTTGCCGGCGGAGACGATGACGAAGACAAGGGAGACCTATTTGGTAAGCTTTTTAGTTTTTTTTTTAGTTTGGTTTCACTATTTCCTCCTAATCGATTCTGACCAAAAAATTCTTCTTTTGCGGGTTTTTAATTGAAGAAACTAGTTGATGTCCTCTTACCCTCTAATTTTAGGAGTTAAGAAGTCAAACTTCAATAAAAATGTGAATTTGTATGGTCGAATTTGATTGTTCTAGTGTGATACTCTTTGATGTTTGGTTATGGGTTGGGGTTGATTTTAGGGGGTTTTCTAAATCTCATCATGGTTATTGCTCATGACCTAGATGAAAAGCTTGCGTTGAGATTCTGTTTTCAGTAAAGTTGATTGGGGAGGGGCTTGGTTTAGAAACTTAGGGCCGTTTAGTATTGTTGCTTCTTTTTGTTTCTTGTTGTGTTTTAAGAAATTTGGAAAACCAAGAAAAAAAAAACGTGTTTAGTTGGGTTTTTATTTTTTGTTGTGAATCAGAGTTGCACAACAAAGCCCAAATATGAAAAACAACAATTTATAGCTTTGGATCTGATTCTTAAACATGTTGCACACGGGATTCCAACTGGTTGGGCACTTGATTTCATTAAAATAGCCCACTTTTCGAATCCCCACTTAAGCAAATTTTTTTTTTTTTTTTTACACTTAACCCGCCCCAAACCCTACTCTTCCTTCCTGTTCCAAACAGAGCCGCCAGCCCTCTTCCTTACTGTTCCAAACAGCGTCCAGCAGCTGCTTCTCTCAATCGCCAGCCTCCTGCCGCCCGTGACCAGAAGACGTCGCCGCGCCAGCGACCAGCAGCCGGCGCCGATTCCCGTCGCCGCGCCAGCCGCCCAGCAGCAATCGCCGCCCCTTCATCTCCTCTCAATCGCCGCCCATTCATCCTCCCCAGCCCCGGCGACCAGCAGACCGATTCCCGGTCAAAAATCATCGTCGCCGATCATCCCTCATCGTCGCCGGTCATCCCTCATCGTCGCCAACGCCTTCATCTCTCCTCGTAACCAGCCGCGCGCCGACGGCGGCAGCGCCTCTCCCTCGCGACTTGCAACCTTCGCCCGCGCAAACAGTTGTGTCGTCGCCTCGTCTTGGCCTTGCGAACAAACGCCGCTGTAATCTCTCCATCGTGACCGCCACCTTGTCTCGCCATCGCGACCAGCCGTCGGCTCTCTTCCGCTCGTCCCTCGACCGGGGCACTCCTCAGTCGACCTGCACCGAGCCCAAGTGTCGCCGATCTTCACCTCCCCTGCAACAAGCTCTCTTTCTAGTTTTCAGTTCTTGTAACTAAACGCGTTTTTTATTCTTGTTGTAAGCTTTTCTGATTTTTAAATTTATCAACTTAACAAGTTGGGTTAATACCCTAGTTTGGCCCAAAATTTAGCGTGAGTGATAGTTATGGCCTCATTTTTCAAATAAGACATTTACGGCCTACTTTTAAAATTATTGGACACATTTGGCCCGGAACTTGCGTTGACCGTTAATACTAACGGTCAAACACTTATTTCGTTAGTGACTCAACAAAAAACTGCTGATGTGTTATACATGGTGCCACATCATTAAATAATAATAATAATAATTTTACTTTTGTTCCCAATTAATAATAATAAATTAAAAAAATCCTAAAATCCCCAAAGATGGATCCGCTCCACTTCCTCCTCTCTGTTTCAATCTAAATCCACTTCATTCTTCTCGAATTCAAAAAAATCACCATGGTTGTCCATCTCCAGTCCCTCCGCTACATCATCCGGAGGCTGCGATGTGCTCCAACGAGAACAAAATCGAAGCTCCAGAATCCAGGTGGAGTAAACGGTCGATCCTCCCCTGCCACCCCGACGGCGGTTCCGACCCACAAAGTCATCATCCATGACCGGATCCAGCTTCTCAGCAACGATCCCTCTCTCCCCTTCGCCGCTTCCTCCACCCGCCGCCGTCGACAACAAAGAGAAATTATTCTCATCAGCTGTCGTTGATGTACCGCCCCTTGGGAACCCAGCCTCTTCTAACGAAATTTCTATCTTCACGGCAGCTTCTGCTGCAAACGCCGTCGCCGAACAAACCCTCGGCGTAAAAATTTGCCGCTCGCTGGCCGCAATGGCGTCACCGTCGGGGTCGATGTTGACACCCCCAGTCGCCACAACCTCCAATCGGAAACATCCAAGCTACAACGCACCATCGGGATTGAACTTTTTTGCAGGATCAATATACATATCACACTGCGGAATCGCCGGCGAGACTAAGAGCTCGAGTGAGAGAGCGCCAGCCTAACGTCGCCGGTAGATGCGCCTGCGCCCCTGAGCAAGGAGAGGAGAGCTGTAGGCATTCGTTCCACCCGCCCACCCAGGATTGAAAGAATCCATATCTAATTACCGGGGGAAAAAAAGGAATCCAGATCTGGTGGTGACGCACGTTCCCCTGACGAGTTTCCTTCTCGAGATTCCCTCTTATCCGCCATGGCCAGTATTGGTTCTTGCTTCGGTTGCTTCGCCGGTGGAGAGGAAGAATGGTGGTTAAGAGTCTCTTCGTACTAAGTCTGGCTGGTGGTTTAGAGCCCCGATTCTGCAATGGCGGCGACGGATACTTTAGACTTCGGAGTCTCTTCGTTTTTGGGGGGCGATGATTCAGCCTCCGGTTTCATACGCCAGAGGAGAGGAAGAAGGGGACGAACCAGTCGGGACGAAGGCGGCGGGAGGAAGAGATGAGGGTCAGAGGTTTGGGGTTTGGGGATTTTGGATTTTTATTTTTTATTATTATTTGGGGGACAAAATTAAAAAATTATTTTTATTTAATGACATGTCACCTTACATAAACCACATCAGCAGTTTTTTTCTGAGTCACTAACGGAATAAGTATTTGACCGTTAATATTAACGGTCAATACAAGTTTTGGGCAAAATCTGTCCAATAATTTCAAAAGTAGGCTGTAAATGTCTTATTTGAAAAATGGAGCCAGAACTGTTACTTACGCTAAACTTCGGACCAAACTAGGGTATTAACCCTAACAAGTTTGTATTTTCTGTTTTTTTTGTTTTGTTGTGGTTGTGCATATGTTTACACAACACTCTTGCAATCACAACAACAACAAAAATAATACTAAACGGGGCCTTAGTTTTATTGCTTGACTTGATTTGGTGATTCTGCTTTGGCATAAATGTGGATTTTTGTGGCTTTTGTTTGCGTGCTTTTGTGAATAAAATGGAATTTTAGCTTGTGGTGATGATGGGTTTGGATCAAGAAACAAGCGACTGTTTATGGTGTGTTAAATTCCATCAAATTGGGACTTGTGGTAGTAGAATCCCGAAATATTTGTGCTGGTTGTGGTGATTCTGAATTTAGAAATTGGTGGGTTTTAGCATTAGGGTAGTAATTCGGGCTTAATTGTACACTTTTTATCCCCGTTTCTCTTTGACATTTGTTGCAATTCTCTTTGACATTTGTTGCAATTGAACTCCAAAAAAAGTGGTTTTACGCTAGGTTTCTTGTGTTTCAGTTTGTTTAAGATCCTAACAGGTGAAACCAACCCCGGAGTCGGAAGTTGGAAGAAAAGGAGCAAAGACTGGGCAAAGAGGAGGAGACAACCACAGTTCACGGTCTGCCATTGGAGTTCACGGTCTTACAGGACCGTGAACTGTAGCCACAATCTGTGAACCATGGAGAGTCCAGAGAGGGTTTTGAGGTTATTGACGCCAAGGCTGTTCACGGTCTCTAAGACCGTGAACTGCAACCATAAACCATGAACCTAGGAAGTGAAGTTTTGCGTTTCGATCCAACATGCTATGTTCACAGACGCGTTTCGATGTTCACGGCCGTTAATTAGGCCGTGAACTGGGCTCGATCTAAGTTTAATGAGCCAACCGAAAGGAAGAAGAGGGGGGGGGGGACCTAGTGTGAGAAACTTCTTCGTCTTCTTCTTCTTCTTCTTCTTCTTCTTCTTCTTCTTCTTCAGATTTTAGAGTGAGAAAGTAACAAACCAAAGAAGAGGAGAATCTAGGGTTTCATCTCCAACCAAGGATTTGGGAATTCCTCCCCCAAAGGAGGATCTCTTCAACACAAGGAGCAAGACTTGCATCTTCTTGATGGTTTTCCTTTCCCTCTCTTGTGTTATCCATTCTCCTAGCATGGAGTAGTCCCTTCTTTCACTTGGGTGTTTGTAAACCCTAACTACAATTATGTGAATGCTTGTATGAATTGAATGATTTTGTGCGTGGTTGTGTTTAATGTGAATGTGGAGGTATTATTCATGAATGTTGTATTGTGTGAAAGACTATCAATCAAATTTCCATTCTAACCTAGGTAGAGAGAAAACCCCTTTCCTTTCTTTGAAAGAGGCTTGAATTCTAGATTTTCTTAGGGTAATTCGTTGCCTCCTAGTTAGGTTAATGCAGTGCAAACCTCCTATTTTGTATTAGCACTTAGGGTTTGGTTGTGGGTGGCCATTCGAACTCCAATTCGAGGGTGAAGTCTAACCATTCCTTAGTTAATAGGTTGAGAGGGTCACATTATTGGGTTGGATAGTATTCTATTTCTTCAACCTAGAGACCAAGAGGGTAACTTAGGCTACTTGTCAGACAACCATTCCTTAGTTATAGGTTGAGAGGGTCACATTAGTGGCTTGGATAGTATCACATTTCCTCAATCTAGAGACTAAGAGGGTAGCTTTGGCTACTTGTTGGACAACCATTCCTTAGTCATTAGGTCGAGAGGGTCGTATTAGGCGCTTGGATCGTATCCCATTTCCTCGACCTAGATATTAAGAGGGTAGCCTTGGTTGCTTGTTAGACTTCCTTTCGCTTTATAACCCCCTAACCACACACTGACTTTCGATTCTTCAAGTTGTAATTGTTAGCTAGTGGGAGCAACACTTGGGTGAAGCCTTCTCAATTAGTGTCAAATCCATTTTACCTTTGCAAAGTAATTTAGCTTTAGACCTTTGTTTTCACCAAAACTCATTCGCTAGATAATGTTTCAAACATTTGAATTAGCGGCACATGGGCCGGCCCGGGTCGATATTTAAACATACTTGTCCTATATTGCACTTGATAACACTGAATTTGCACATGTTTTTACCCCTCATTTCTTGATTGTTTAGCTTGGTATTTATCATACTTTAGCCTATTTTAGGCTAGGTTGTGTTCCTTTGCCACATTTTAGGTCCTAGCATATAAAGTGAAGCATAGACGCAAGTTTCAAGTCAATCGGAGATCAATTGGCGACTTCGGGGGAAGAAACTCGATTATGACCCAGGGAAGAATGGATTTCTACCTCATTTAATGGAAAAAGAATCATGTAATCTATGCATTGAAAGAAAGAGGACGAGACTATGAGCGTTTGGGATCAAACGGCGACTGATTCGAAGTTCGGATGAGGGAAAAATTACCGAAAGACAACAGCCTCTCTGGAGTTACGGGTTGGCCTTCAAAGTTACGGCCATAACCGTAACTTTGCCATTTTGGCCGTAACTCGGGGCCACGGGAGGCATAATAAATTTCATAAGTTACGGCCTGAACTCCAAAGGTTACGGCCGTAACTTGGGGCCGTAGCATGACTTCTGTGAGCTGTATAAATGAGTGCGGATTCTGAAGGGGGATAGCTGGATTTTGGATCCCAAACACCCAAGGGACGAACCCTAGAGAGAGAGAGAGCACCTTGGGAACATTCCTTGAGCTATTTTGGAGGATATCTTCAACATTGGAGCTCGGGAAACAAGTTTGGAGATGGAGATTGAAGATCTAGATCATATTTTTGCATTCTCTCTCTTCTCTATGGAGTAACTTCTCTTCACTTAGGTTTTGAGGAACCATAGATTTGTATGCTAGGAAGAGTTGTTTGAACTTGAATTCATGATTGATTGACATTTTATATTCAGTTGAGGCATTGATTCAGAATTACTTGAGTCCTGATTAAACTTTTTGTGATTCCTGCTTTAACCTAGAACGATAGTCTCTGCATAGGTTAATAGAGCAACCTCAATTGGAAGTAGTTGATCAATTAATTAAATTGAGAAATTGATTCACTGCTCTGTACTGGAATCAAAGCCAGTATAGGAACTTTTGTGTGTTTTACCTTGGTTAGCTTACGCTGGTGGAGGTTAGTCGCCCGGGTATTCGAATTGAGAGGGTCTGGATAACTTTAGTCGAGAGTCTAGACCAGCTAAGAACTTTCCGCGGTATATCTGTCAACTGAATTGGATTGGGTGAATACAACTTGGCCTAACTGCAGACTAGGGGGGAATCTTACCTAAGTGAGTTCTCAACCTGTAATCAGTAGTTTTACCTAGTTTAGCTAATAGATTAGTTTAGTTAATCAAACCTCAACCTGGTTTGCTAGATAATGAACTGAAGCTGAATAATAGTAACTCTAGAGACCCGTGGATTCGATATATATTACTTTTGCCACTATACTGCAGTACCTTTCATTGGTTAC